AATGTATAGTATTCTATACCATATTTTTACGTGTTGGAATATATCTTTAATTATATAATAAAAACAAACTTCCAGACAATGTAGGTGTATTCATTTTTCTCAAACCAAAATCACATAAATGGTATCGGTGATTCTAGCCATTTTGTTCGAATGCAGCCATTTCTAAATTTATGTATAAAATAATATAGATTAAGAAATTATGTAATTTTTTTAGAAATTATTTATAATTTTAGAATTTTATGATCATGTGCTAAAATTTGTAACTAGCATCTCTTTATGAACTTATAAATTCCGAAAGAATTTCTTTTCATCATGGCGGAATATCCAAAGACTATTTGGAAAAAGCAAAAAGGATAATGTAATAAAAACAGCCAAAGTCATAGAGGATCACTAAACTCTTACCCTCAATCAACGGCCACGATGAAACCCTTCTACAAAATTCAACGGTCAGATCTAATCCTCCATCATCTCTCACTCATAAAAACAAACTTCACACACACACAGAGCTCTCTCTTCCTCACACACAAATCACAGCTCCTCTCATGGCTTCAACTTCCTCCCTCGCTCTCTCCCAATCCCTCCTCGCTCGCGCCATCATCTCTCTCCATGGCTCTGACCAACGCATCTCCTTACCCTCCCCTCCCTCACGCGCCTCCTCCTCCTCCTCCTCTCGCCGTCGCAACACAGCCACCAAACTCCGATCTCTCCGCCCTCTCGTTCGCGCGTCAGCAGCTGTTGAGACACTAAAGCCGACCACCGACGCGTCTATTGTCGACAAATCTGTGAACACGATAAGGTTTTTGGCGGTTGACGCGGTGGAGAAGGCGAAGTCAGGACATCCTGGTCTTCCCATGGGATGTGCACCCATGGCCCACATTTTGTACGATGAGGTCATGAGGTATAACCCCAAGAACCCTTATTGGTTCAACCGTGATAGGTTTGTTTTGTCTGCTGGACATGGTTGTATGTTGCTTTACGCTTTGCTTCATCTCGCCGGATACGACAGCGTTTTGGTTAGTGATAATAAAGATTCATTCTTTTTCTTTTTTCTTTTTGATTTTTATTAAAGGATTTGACTTTATTGATTCTAAAGTGTTTGACTTTTGTTTTTTTGTTTTTAATTAGGAGGAGGATTTGAAGAGTTTTAGACAGTGGGGGAGTAAGACACCTGGACATCCTGAGAATTTTGAGACTCCTGGGATTGAAGTCACTACTGGTTTGAGATTCTTTCTCTTTTTTTTTTTTTGGTTTGTTGTGGGTTTTGTGAAATGAAGAAGGTTTTTTTTGTTTGATTGGGTTTGTCTGGTTTTGATGTTTTCTGTGCAGGTCCTCTCGGACAAGGGATTGCTAATGCTGTTGGTTTAGCTCTTGCTGAGAAGCATTTAGCTGCTAGGTTTAACAAACCTGATGCTGAAGTTGTTGACCACTACACGTAATATATATGCTTTCATACTTCTGTTATCCTCAATGTTCAAGAAATCGTTAGGCGCTTTATAGAAGATTATTGTTTAGGCGGGCGCCTAGACCGATGTTTTGATGCTTACACCGATTCTTTAATTAAAAAAAAAAAAAAAGAAGAGTTTTGTTTAGACCTGATTTAAAAAATATATATATAGTTGCCTAGATCGATTTTTAGAACACTGGTGATTATTCTTTGGTTTGTTTCAGGATTTGATATTAGAAAATTATTGGATTTTGATTGTGTTTAGGTATGTGATTCTTGGAGATGGTTGTCAGATGGAGGGTATTTCAAATGAAGCTGCATCTCTAGCTGGTCACTGGGGACTTGGAAAGCTCATTGCTTTCTATGATGACAATCACATTTCCATTGATGGAGACACTGAGATTGCCTTTACTGAGAATGTTGACCAGCGTTTTGAAGCTCTTGGATGGCATGTGATCTGGGTGAAGAATGGTAACACTGGGTATGATGAGATCCGTGCTGCTATTAAAGAAGCTAAAGCTGTTACTGACAAGCCTACATTGATTAAGGTAACTACACAACTTCTTATCAATTGGTTTAAAGACTTTTGGTATTAATTTACCATTTATATGAATTTGCAGGTTACTACTACAATTGGTTATGGATCTCCAAACAAGGCGAACTCATACAGTGTCCATGGAGCTGCACTTGGTGAGAAGGAAGTTGAGGCTACTAGAAACAATCTTGGATGGCCTTATGAGCCATTTAAGGTACCTGATGAAGTTAAAAGGTTAAGTAACACTCTAAACAAAAGCAATCTGTTTACTTTTGTGGCTATGGAACTGACTCACTGTTTGCTTCACACAGCCACTGGAGCCGTCACACGCCTGAAGGCGCCGGTCTTGAATCTGACTGGAATGCATCCTTTGCAGCTTATGAAAAGAAGTACCCAGAGGAAGCTGCAGAGTTGAAATCTATCATCACTGGTGAATTACCTGCCGGCTGGGAGAAGGCACTACCAGTAAGTAAAACTCTTAATTGTTATTCTGTTTCTTGACAATGGAGTTTTACAACATGTATTGTGTTTTCTGTTTTAGACATATACACCAGAGTCTCCTGGTGATGCCACCAGAAACTTGTCACAGCAATGTCTCAACGCCCTTGCTAAAGTTGTTCCTGGTTTCCTTGGTGGAAGCGCTGACCTTGCATCTTCCAACATGACACTCCTGAAAGCGTTTGGTGACTTCCAGAAGGCAACACCGGAAGAAAGAAACCTTAGGTTTGGTGTTAGGGAGCATGGAATGGGAGCCATCTGCAACGGCATTGCCCTCCACAGCCCTGGTCTCATCCCTTACTGTGCAACTTTCTTTGTCTTCACTGACTACATGAGAGGTGCAATGAGAATCTCAGCTCTGTCTGAAGCTGGTGTTATCTACGTTATGACTCATGACTCCATTGGTCTTGGAGAAGATGGACCAACCCATCAGCCTGTTGAGCATTTAGCTAGCTTCCGTGCTATGCCAAACACTCTTATGTTCCGTCCTGCTGATGGAAACGAAACAGCCGGTGCGTACAAGATAGCTGTCACCAAGCGGAAGACACCATCTATCTTGGCTTTGTCTAGACAAAAGCTTCCTCAGCTTCCAGGTACATCCATTGAAGGAGTTGAAAAGGGTGGTTACACAATCTCTGACAACTCATCAGGAAACAAACCTGATGTGATCTTGGTTGGGACTGGATCTGAGCTGGAGATTGCTGCACAGGCTGCAGAGGTGCTAAGGAAAGAAGGGAAGACCGTGAGAGTTGTGTCTTTCGTCTGCTGGGAGCTGTTTGATGAGCAAACAGATGAGTACAAGGAGAGTGTTTTGCCGTCTGGTGTATCTGCTAGAGTTAGTATTGAAGCAGCTTCGACTTTTGGATGGGGGAAGATTGTTGGAGGTAAAGGAAAATCCATTGGTATTAATTCTTTTGGAGCTAGTGCACCAGCTCCTTTACTCTACAAGGAGTTTGGTATTACTGTTGAAGCTGTTGTTGATGCGGCTAAGTCATTCTTCTAAAGTGACTTACCGTTATCCTCTATAAGGGTTTGTCTCATTACCTCAAAATAAAGTGCAACAAGACGGATAGACTCTTCTTTTCTTGTTATGCGGGTCGAGATAGGTTTTGGGTTTGGGAAGAGAAGAGAGTAGAAGACAATGTAAAACTCTCTATGATCAGTTGTGTAATTGTTTTGTTATATGCTTGGATTTCAGCTTGACCACTATTTCTTGGTGGGTAACAGACAAAAGTGACGACAATACCTAAACAGACACAAACAATGGTCACTACTAGTGACATTCTGTGGACAAGAGTGATCAGAGAGATTAAAAAGGTTTGGTTCTTGTTCAAGTTTAAAGTATTATCATCATCTACATTGGGGCCATATAAGGAGATAGTGAAGGAATGGTGAAGTATAAGACTACATAAGTAAAGACCCCACAACTTTTCGGATATGTAAGTTTATTCTTTTTTTTTTTTTTAACAATGATTTTATTTATATAAAATGTAACACTACAAATAATATAAAATACAACCAACTACAAATTTAAAATGAAGAAAATACAATATAAGAGAATTAGGCTTCTTTCTAAACCATCTTCTCCAATAATAAGGTTTTTCGATGCGATTAGCTTCAGCAATCATACAATCGATGAAATCCCAAGATTTCTTTTGCAATTCTCTTTGTTGTATTACATTGGTCTTATTCCAATTTAGATCTATAGATATTCCTTGGTTTAAAATTCCCATTGATTCAACCATAAGAAATAAAAACTGTAAAGACCAATCTTCAACGATTGTACGAATATCGCCATACAACAAAGAGATATCTTCTTCCATTTCATATTGTTGCTTTTTCCTTAATGAATTCCATGATTTCAGCAATATATTTTGATACCAAATATACTGTATCAAAATATAATTCTGAAACATTTTTTGTTGATCCAAAGCAAACTCTTCGTTTTGATCTTGAACTCTTCTTCCACATGTCGAATCCACGGTGGTTTTTTTGGTGGACGTTGTTTCCACAACAAATAACATTAATTTGAATTCAACACAAACATATGAATCGTTTTGTCATCGGTCATGGCCACTAATTCCATGCCGGAGATAACAACAACCAATTGGGTGATAGAGTGACCAACATCCAAAATGTTGTGAATAATATTGAAACTCTTATCGAGTAGAAAGAAGGGAAAGTCACAAAGAAATTGGGTAAAAAAGAAAAATAGAGATGCCATTATGGAATCAAACACGTATCTGGATGATGAAATCACACTTTTGGATAGAAAAAGCAGAGAAAAAGGAGTTTGAAACAACCGCTCTCCCTATCGCCTTCTCCATCGCCGGTTAAAAAAGTACGACGAGACTTTTTTAATTTATAATTTCGCTTTTATTCGATTCTGTTTCTTCACTTAATTGTTTTTTTCTTAATTCATTTTTACATTCAAATTGATTTTAAAAAGACTTAAATATTCGCATTTTCTTTTTTTATTTTGGGTTTTTTTACAAGTACCGGCGTCTATATGTAAGTTTATTCTTGTGCTGAAAGAATAAGCTAAAGCATATTTTGATTTCCCTTTCTGTATAGTTGATTGAGATTTGGGCCTATAAAGGCCCAGTAAATCAAAACAATAGCTAATCTAGATTCTTGGCCAAATTTGCACAATAGCAAATTATAGGAAGGACCAATTAGTACTAACCAAAACCGAAAAGAGTTTTTCACTAAATTCAAAATCTCAATGTAAACCATCAAAACTATCGAAAACAGAGATACATAGTCCATAGTTCATAGAACTTGAGTTGCAATGCAAATGAAATGGTTGTTCCTGAAGGACCTTGACCAGCTCTCCTTAAGCCACAAGAGTGCTAGCAGTGGTAGACTCGCTGAAAAACATAAGAAAATGAGGATCAAGATCCATAAGTAAATGATAATCATCGCAAAAGTTATAGAGTTGTGTGTACTAACTATTTCCAGACAGGAGGGAGCTTCTTGGTCTTCTTGTAGTAACGAGCAAGACGGTGGATTCTGCTCTCAACAAGAATCAACCTGAACTTGGAATCCTTGTCTTTCCTGTTCCTCTCAAGATGCTTGCGGATAGCAACTGCTTTCTTGATCAGGTGGTAGAGATCCTCAGGGATCTCAGGTGCAAGACCTTCATTAAAAAAATAACAAACACTCTCTTTAAATGTTATAGTTATTCAAATATTAAAAACCAAAAAAAAAAAAAAAAATGAAAGAAGACTCGGGAGGGATTGAATACTATACCATGAGCTTTCAAGATTCTCAAAATCTTGTTTCCGGTAACACTCTTCACCTGTGGGATACCGTGAGAGTCACGAAGAATCACACCTATCTGAGATGGAGTCAAACCCTTCTTCGCAAACTTGCAAATGGACTCATCAACCTATTCTCCACCAAACACAAAAGTCAAGACGAAACCAAAGTGGTAAACACGTTCCTCTCAAAACAGCCTTAGGTACCAGCAAAACATTACTATAAACTGTATTATACATCGACCTTCTAGCTTAGTATTAGATCTTTCCTACACGGTTTTATTAAATCACATTACTTCTAATAAACAAATCATAACATTACTAAACTATGCATAACATTTCAGACAAATCTATAAATGCCAAACAGATACTTAGATTTGGTGAACGAATATTACATCCTGGGAGGTTGTCTTGAGCCAGCTCGGGGGTGAGCGCTTGTACGGCAAAGCAGAAGCTGAGATTCCCTTACTACACAACACACAAAAAAAAAAAAAAAACAGATACAAATAATGTAAGAGAACCAGTTTTTCAAACAATGTTCAAAAGAGTACGATTGAAGAAACAAGAAGACGAACCCTTTAGAGTGGAGTCTCCCCATGGTGAAGTCTGTGTTCGCTTTACTCTGAGAACGGTCTTCCTCGGTTTCGTGCGGCTATGACTGCGCTGAAGGGTTTCAAAACCCTAATTGATGTTTGTTTATATACATATACCATCATCCTCTAACTTGTTGTCGTAGGTCATTTTCACTTTCGTTCAAAAAAAGCCTTAACAGGCTTTGTTTTAGGCCCATTAATAAACTCCCTGTAATAAAAATGAGGCGTGGAGGGCCCATATATAAAGGACCAAGAGGTTGATTGTTAGTAGTTTTTAAAATAGTTTTTGGTTTTTGTTTTTGAAAAAACCAAATTTTATCCAAGGTACACTATACATGTTTTAAGAAGAGTTGTTGCAGCAACAATAGCATTACATAATTTTATAAAACTATCCAATTTAGGAGATGTTGATTTTGATGCGGACAACACAAATGGTAATATACCAAGAGAAGATTCCGATTCAGATGAAGACGAAGAGTATAATAATACTCAAGCAAACTATATGGAAGGCATTCGAGATCAAATTTCTGCATCTTTATGGGATTCGCGATAATTTTATTTTGTATTTGCAATTTTTAAAAATAATTTTATGAAATAATTTTATGTGTGTTTTAATGATGGTATTTTATATTTATATTTTTCAGGAAAAAAATTATTATTAATAAAATTTTCATTTTGTTAATATAAAAAACAAAAATCAAAAACCAAAAGCTGAAAACCAAAATGTAAAACAACCATTCATGCTTTTTTGAAAAACCAAAATCTACTACAAAATCAAAAACCAAGAACTAAAAACCAAAATCTAAAAATCAAAAACCAAAAACTAAAATCTAAAAACTAAGAAACAATCATCACCCAAGTAAACAACCCCTTTGTGTTAACATATCGAGGACATAATGAAATGTCTTGATATTGCGTCTTCTTTTCTTTTAATGGGATCACATTGATGGATCAAAGCCAACGATTGTAATATAATGAACCTTTAAAGTGTATCCATGAACCTTTTTGTGATAGATTAGAAAGCATTTATTGAAATTAACTACTATGTTTTGATTATAAAAAAAGGTTTACAAAGTTTTTTTTTTTTTTTACAGACGGATTTGGAATAAACCGTATTCTTAGATAAGCCAAAAACATGATACCAATTGACATAACCTAACTTCATATCTACTAATTAATCTTAATGGTTCTTTCATTTCAGTGTAACAGTAAGAAATTTAGGTTTCTGGAATTTATAATACGTATTTAAACCTTCATAAATTATGGTTTACATTATTAATAAAATGCCCTAATATATTATAGACGTTTGCTTCAATCGATTTTGGTTTTTCTTGCTTTGCATATCATTCACAACAGTATATTACAAACCACTATTGCCATGACACATACTCTCCATTTTTTTGTATGATGTTTTGATTTAATGCACACAAATTAAGAATATACATTCTTCTAAAAACACTTCAAAAATATAGTTTAAAAATCATTTAACCAATTATAAAAGAACTGTAAAATTTTATTGGTTGAATAATTTTTTAATAAAATTAAAATTAATTTTAAAATTTTAAATTATCATATATTTTGAACTAACATAAATTTTCTAAAATCTCATATAATTTGAAATGGAAGGACCGAAGGAGTACAAGTTTTAGTTTTCCTTACGGCTGGTACACAAAATTTCGATTTTAGAGAATTGAATCAACAACATTTTAATCCTTTACAAGTATATAGAATCTAAACCCTTGACCTAAAGAAACAAAACGTCTCGTTTAAGTTAAGGCTATTAAATACAAAGTTTAGAATCCCAAAGAAGACGTAAACAAGTGGGAGAAAGGGGAATGAAGGAGGACACGTGATGATTCAGTTAAACAAATGTCAACGCCTAGTCCATCCTTAAAGCCAAACCTCACCCATTTATTAACCTAACTGCCTAACCGACTTTGTCGCCATCTTCCTCCTTCATCAACTTCTCTTTATATACACTAGATTCTGACCCATCTTTTTAGAGGACGGGTATATATTTTATTTTAGTTTTTTTAGAAATTTAATTTTTTATCTTTATGTATACTTTAATCTCTTTTCTAATAAAAACATCTCATATTTTCGTATTTTAATTTTTTTTCACCTATTTAAGCGCAGCTAAAGATTTGTTTTGTTGCTGTAGTTTTAATCTATTATACCATATCATGTACGGACCAAAATAAGTTGTAATATGGAGGATAACTAATAACGTAATCATCTCTAGGTTCTGACTGCCCCTTTTGTATATTTTTTGCTTTACATTTTTTGAAATTTAATATTCATATTTTTCCGTTGTAATCGTATTTGTGTATTTTATTGTAATTTTTTTTGTAAATTTTTTTTTTAAATCTATAGTTTCGATAGTTATATTGAATTTATGATGTTGCATAACTATAAACTTGTGTCATAACCATTTCACACATTAATTTTGTACTTTATTTCTAAATAGTTATTTTTAAAAAAAAAAGAAGTATAGTTACAATTGTGTTTAGTAATCAAATAGTAATTAAATATATAAAATTATATATTTTCATTAAATTTTCATGATTTGATTGCATATATATAATGATAATAAAATTTACACATAATATTACACATAATATTTTTTATGAAATTAAAAATGAGTTGTAAATTTTGACTCAATGTAAATAAAGACCATGTTACCTTTGTAACCAGGAAACAAAATAACCTAGTAGATTTCAGTCATCTATTCTAATTAAAGTTGCGGTTACAAATTTATTGGACTAAACATATACCAATATGTCATAATCATAATTTAATAGAATAGATGATATATTTGGATTTTAATATTTTATTAAATGAATATATGTATTCAAACTGAACCCGTAATGATCCAAATCAAATCCGAACTAAAATATCTAAATATTCAAATATGATTTTAATCTCTCATCTAAAAATCAACATCTGGATAGACGGAATCAAACCTGAACTCTTAACCTTACAATGTTAATTCTTCTAAACATATACTATACACTCAACATCAAACAGTATTATAAGAATACAAAATCTTGTCATAAATAGAAATATACTTTTATTATATGTCGTAACTCTAACTTGTCATAAATTATTTAAATTATATTTTTATGTGAAATGAGAAATAAAGAATTTAACTTTTAAAAATTTACTATATTTTTAAACATAGTTTTTCTTTTGTTTTCAAATGTTGATATAATTATAATCAATATTATTAAAACAGAATCATCATTATTTTTTGCCTTAGAAACCCTTGGCATTTTACTTTTTTGCTAATAAACTTACTTTTAAATATACTTATCTAATTATATAATTGTAATTAACTACTTTTGTAAGCTGGAAAAAAAACCTCCGCTAGCAAAAAAAAAAAGAGAAGAAGGAATAACCTCCACAATAATCGGGATCACTTCTTTTTCATAATAAATAATAACTTTTGAGAACATTATTCTATAGTGTGCGTTTGCGTTCAGTTTCATTTACTCACTGGACCAAACATTTATCAACTAGACATGATCTAAATTTAATAGTATTGATATATATATATAACGTTCCTATCCCTACAGTAAACACATTTGAGATTCCATCATCGAAAGAGATAGAGAACTTAAAAATAACAAATAACGATCATGAAGCTCGTTTGGTCGCCGGAAACTGCCTCTAACGCTTACATCCACACCGTTAGAACGGTAATAATACTCTAAATCAATGGTGCATATGTTATTACACCTGAGCTATTTTTTTCTTAAAGAATTTGTATATTTTATGGTTAATTTTTTTTGTTTGTAACTTGAAAAGGCATTTTTAATATGTGATTGTTGTTGAAGTGTTCTTGATGTATACGGAATAAGTATATTGATCTTGTTTTCAACATGTATATATAATTATATATATATGTGATTCTTGAAGTGTGAAAGCTACAAAGAGTCGAGTGTAGCTGAGTATTTATCAGCTACGGCGGCGGGATGGAACACAAGGCTGATCGTGGAGACATGGAAACGTGGAGACCCGATCGCCACCAGTGTCGGACTAGCTGTAGCGGCTATACATACGTGCGGAAGACACGTATGCATAGTTCCTGACGAGGAGTCAAGATTGGAGTACGAGATTGTGATGAAAGGAGCCGTTGTGAGCGAAGCGACGGAGATAGTGGTCGGAGACTCGGTGGAGGACGTGGTGGATAGACTTTCCGGCGTGGATTTCTTGGTGGTGGACTCAAAACGAGGTGACTACGTGAACGCTTTGGGGTTAGCTAACACGAGCACAATGGGTGCCGTTTTGGTGCGCAAAAACGCCACGCAGAAGTCTAGCCCTGGGTTTATGTGGAACCGTGTTTTGAGACGAGGCACACGAGTTGTGAGATCGGTGTTTTTACCCGTCGGGAGAGGGTTAGATATCGCACACGTGGGAGCCAGTGGTGGTGGTGGTGATTTGAAGAAGGTTCCTAGCCGTTGGATTAAACACATCGATCCTTTGTCAGGAGAGGAGCATCTGTTCAAACGTTAATAGAAAATATATAATCTTTTTTTTTTTTTTTTTTTTTTTTTTTTTTT